TGTTCTAGGATTTCTATAAAACTGATGCAGTTCTATGTATACTGGCCAAGAAAAACTGCTGGTTTTGTTAGGCTTACATTTATGCAGAATAGAACAAAATACTAAAACTAAAGCATGCTCTTTATAGCAATATTAACCCCTCATGTATTCAATGCACAAGATATATTTATAAGAGAAAGTCGTCTCAACAGCAGCAGAATAATTCATGACCACCTTGGTAAATTTCCATGGGGCTCTCTCCATAAGAACAGTGACTTCACCAAGGGCCTTCATGAGCGATAACCTGGCAAAAGTAGATGTTTCTGGCAAACCTTTGCAAAACATCCATTCCACGTGTCATCAACTTGCAGCAAATCCCAGCAGGAATGAATTCTGACCTTATCAGTATGAACTCCTGCTGATTTAACTCTGCACTACTTCTCTTTGTTTCTTCAAAAGAAGCACAGCTGGAGGGGGGATGCAATGAGGTTGAGCATATATACACATACATATCTACGTTTGCACATAATTTTGCCCTAAAAGGAGGAAGGGGAAAAATGATGGACATGAGAGATGCTACAGGCACTGCTAAATGCTCTTCTGGTAACACCACAATGCCACAATACCAGATTTATTAAGCAATCTGGATTTTAAAAACCATCTGAGAAGAGCTACTATAACTGTTAAGATGTTTCTATTCATCAGTGTTGACATAACACAATGTACAAAGTTACTACCTCTACTGCTCATTATACTCCCTATATTGCTAGAATATATTGTCAAAAACTCTAGAAGTGTCCGCTCCATTTTTAGACTAAATAACCATATGCTAAAATATCTTAATTCCATTTGATATTTTGCCAGACAAAAAGATATCTGAGGAAAACTATATGGCCACTTCCTCTTTATAAATGGGAAAAGTATATAGACTAGTAAGAAGACAATTGACAGTTACTGCTACGAAGAAAAAGCAAGCCCACTTCACGCTGAATTCTGCCTTTAGGAACAAAATAAGTTTAAACACCAATTCAATGAATTCAACCACTAGAGGAATCTATTTTGGAAGAAGGGAAAGGCACTGGGGGAATCTAAACTCAATATATTTAAAAATTGGCTTGCCAAACAATTGTCATGTGTAGCACAGTACCTGTGTCACATACATGTTAAACATGTCACTACAGTAAAGGAGCACGTGTGAACGTTATTAGATACCATCATCAGCTCTTCAGTGGCATCATGAAAAACTTACTTTACACAAAAATGGGAAATGCTGGGAAACAGCACAACAAAGATGAGACTATGAATAACATTTTCTAAATCTTTTGAGCCACCACTGAACAAGCACCCAATTATTTTGGAGTAAAGAGTACAGATGAGACTGCCAACACCCAAATCCTGGTGGATGCCCTATTATCTTCATGCTTGCTGCTCTAGCTGCATTAGTACATACCATACTGTGTATTGCTTTATCTGCATATAACATCACAATACAGATGACAGCCTGGCTCTGCAGCTGTCTCCAAACTTAACTGAGAGAAAATCTGATTGAAGTTAGTGAGGTATATCTCACTAACATGTCCTAGGATTGCACTGTAGGATCATTTATAAAGATATCATGAGGAATATATATATAGATAGATAGATAGATAGATAGATAGATAGATAGATAGATAGATAGATAGATAGATAGGCATGTATGCCTTCCTTATCCCAATACAACTTTAAATGCACAAACCCAACAATGAATCAATTTATAGCAGTGGTTGCCAATCTTTGGGCCACCCAGAAATCCCAGCCAGTTTACTAGCTGTTAGGAACTGTGGGAGCTGAAATCCAAAACAGCTGGAGGCCCAAAGGTTGGAAACCACTGATTTATAGTATACTACAAATAATATTCTAAGAAGGTAGGTCTTTCCCATTTCTCCCATTCAGCAACTTTGAGGAGGTATGCATATCAAAGACAGATGAATGTATGTAGTGTTTTTTTCTTAACTGTGCTAGCGCAATGTCATTCTGTTTTACAAGTCTATGCATTTCTCCTGTGTTCTATTTGTTGATAACATCTATCACAGAAAGACAGCCCTACTTTCAAATATTTTTACTTGTATATAATTTTGCTCAAGTCGCTGTTTATGTCAACCTTCTACAAACTATCCAGTTCTGCATGAACTTCTTTACAATTGCAATACCTTTTAAGTACAACATGGGCCTTGTTGTACAAGGCTTGAGATCTGCTGGGGAGGGCCTTCTCTCAGTCCCAAAGGAGTGGTTCGTGGGGACGAGATCGGGGGCCTTCTCAATGGTGGCTCCCTAGCTCTGGAATGTGCACCCTTGAGAGATTAAATTTGCCCCAAATCTCCAAACCTTCCAAGCCTAAAAATATGGTTATTTACATGGGCCTTTCACCTGGAGTAATCTACTATGGTCATGTGATGACGTTGACCATTGTTATTCAGCACTTTATTTCATGTTTGAAGAAACCCAATGACCCACAGGTATGACTGTGTTTTAGAATTTTTAAAAAAATATCAATTGACATTGTCCATTGCTTGTATTCAGTCAAATTGTGTATTGTTTTGATTATATGTAATTCTATTTTGTATGTGGCACCTTGAGTGTTTTGTTAGCCGCCCAGAGTCCCTTCAATGAGATGGTGGCAGGGTACAAATAAAGTTGTTGTTGTTGTTACACATTTTTAAGCCTGTATTCCCAATTTGCAATTACAAATATATTTTAGATATTGTGGTAAACATAAAAGGATCAAAAGGGCAGCTAGTAACCAAGAAAGGCTTCCAAGTATTTTGTAACTGATTATATTCTCCTCAGTTATTGGTAGTAATGTCACTGATGCCTGCATATTTTGAAAGTACTGTTGTATATTATTAATCTACTCCATTTATGGATACATTATTTTCAATGAATGTTTTAAGATATAGCAGCCAAGTGAAACAAAAATGTCTTCTCCTCAGCAGTTCAACAAGACAACAGGTTAACCCAAGTATGGGCCAACTTGGCCCCTCCAGGTGTTTTGGACTTCAACTCTCACAATTCCTAACAGCCTCAGGCCCCTTCCTTTTCCTCCTCAGCTGCTTAAGCAGAAAAGGAAAGTGAAAAGGAAAAGGAAGGGGCCTGAGGCTGTTAGGAATGGTGAGAGTTGAAGTCCAAAACACCTGGAGGGCCCAAGTTGGCCCATACCTGTATTAATAACACTATGATTGCCCAGTAATTTGGCTGGGTATTTTTAGGAGTATTTAAACCCAGAAGTGTTTAATTTGACTCCATGACAAAATGTTATACTGCACCTTTGTCTCAAAATTAAAATACAGCCTTATGCCTGACAGCAGGGCCGGGACAACTTTTCATCAAACATCGAATGATAATTTAGAGGTCAGTTTGCCCATTACATAAGAAAAAGGGACGTTTTCCATGTGTGACTGACTACATACATAATATTTAGAAAACTCAGAAAAGTCAACACAGAAAACATTCCCAAACTGACAGGTGATGGAATCATGAGCACATACCAAAAAAAATCAACAAATCTCCGTCAAGTATTGCATGATCACAAAGGAAGTTCACATTTCAGCCAGACAGGAAACGTCACCCTCTGTGCACGCCACGCGAAAGAAAAAGCCACCACAGAAAACATGGATTCTCCTGACATCATGGACAAACGGATCAGAGCAGAACCACTTTGCAAGGCGGTTTTTTGAAAAAGGAGAGGGGGGGACGTGGTGGCGGAAGAGAAAAGGAAACGTCAGGAGGGCTGGGAAACTCTCCCTATGGATGCTGCCATAGTGGGCTGGCTCCCACTCAGAGAGAGAGAGAGAGAGAGAGAGAGAAGCTGCTTCCTCTGCACAAAGCACAGACCAGTCCTTTGGCCCCTTCAGAACCAAGAGCTGTCCACAGAGAGAGAGAGAGAGAAGCTGCCTCCTCTGTGCAAAGCACAGCCCAGCCCTTCGGCCTTTTCAGCACCAGGAGCTGTCCAGAGAGATAGAGAGAAGCTTGCCTCCTTTGCACGGAGCACAGCCCAGCCATTCGGCCCTTTCAGCACCGGGAGCTGTCCCGCGTGCTGAAAGGGCCGAATGGCTGGGCTGTGCTCCCTGCAAAGGAGGCAGCTTCTATCTCTTTGGACAGCTCCTGGTGCTGAAGGGGCGGAATGGCTGGGCTGTGCTTTGTGCAAAGGAGGCAGCTCCTCTCTCTCTCTCTCTCTCTCTCTCTCTCTGGACAGCTCCTGGTGCTGAAAGGGCCGAAGGGCTGGGCTGCGCTCTGTGCAAGGGAGGCAGCTCCTCTCTCTCTCTCTCTCTCTCTTGTCTCTCTCTCTCTCTGAGTGGGAGCCAGCCTCGTGGGCCTGCCACCAAAAGGCTCCCACAGGTGCTGGCTACAGGGCCAAGGGGCCTCCCTCGATGGGCGGCACGCTTCTGGGGGAAGATGGCGGCTCTCTTTAATGCAAACCCACCCGGGATCTGAGCGCACAGAGACACAGCAAGGCACACACAGAGAGAGAGAGAGGGAGGGAGGGAGGGAGAGGGCCTGGGCCTGGCAGAACAGTATGAGGAAGGCAGGGAAGAGGAAGGAGAAGAGGAGGAGGGAGAAAGAGACGTTCCTGGCGGCAAAAGCCCGCCGTCTCCAGCCTTTCCCAGCCATGCCGCCTCCGCCTCTTCCTTCCTCCCTTCTTTGCCACCATCCGATCACACCAATACACACACACACATATATATACACACACACACACAGCGGGTTACAACAGCACCTGTGCGGCCATATTGGGCGCCTGGCCCCAGTCCATAGGAGCCTGGGAAGCAGGGAAGGGAATGGCAAGGGGGCAAGGAGAGGCAGCAAGGAGAGGCCCAGCAGCAAAGGAGGGCCTATCAATTTCCTCAATGTCCCCCATATGCACACAAAAACAGCCCCACACAATGGCCCCCCCCCCCCAGGAAAGAAGGAAGGGATGGCTTCCTAGTATGGGAAGGAAGGGTGGATAGATAGATAGATGGATGGGGTTGAGGAGCCGCCCTTACTTGAGCACGGATTGCTCCTTCTCTTCTTCCTTCTTCTGGCGGTCCATGACGGCCTGGATGATCTTCCTCTCCTCCTCGGTGAGGTGGCTGAGGTCGGGCATCTCGGACGGAGGAGGAGGAGGAGGCGGCGGCGCGGGGGGCGCAGGGCCGCCGCGGGGCCCAGCGGGGGCCGACATTTTGGGAAGAGGAAGAGGAGGAGGAAGGAGCAGCAGCAGCTTCCCAGCCACAATGCTCCTTAGGTTGGAAAACACTCAGGCGGCGGCGGCGGTGGCAGGAGCAGCAGCAAGAGGACCAACAGCAGCAGCAGCAGCAGCAGCCGCCCCCGGCGCTGGGTGAAATACATACAAATCGATCCCCGCTTTTAATCAATCGGCAGTCTAATGAATGCCCCGCGGGAGGCGGGAAAGCGGCAGGGAAGGAAGGCTCGCTCTCCCCGCCACGGCCCGGCCTTCAGGTCCACGCATCCACCCAGACCCCCTTCTCTCCCTCTCTCCCTCTCTCTTCCTATATCTCGCTGCGGAAGGAGGCTTAGGAAGGGGCGAATGGGGGCTCAAAGGGGAGAAATCGGAGGGGGATAAGGCTCTGCTTAAAAGGGGGAACCAAATGAAAAAGCTAGGGACTAAAAGCGGGAGAAACTGGAGGGGACTGGGGTTCCTGAGGAGAGAAATAGAAGGTGAATGGGTCTAAAAGGGAAAGAAATTCAAAGGGGTTGAGGCTCCCAGATAGGACTGGGTCTAAAGGGGGAAGAAATCAAAAGGTCCTTAGGTTGAGCTCTGACTAGAAGGGGAAGAAACTGAGGTTTTCAGATGGAGCTGGGACCAAAAGGAGGGAGAAATTGGAGGGGGTGAGGTTCCCAGATAGAACCGGCTCTAAAGGGGGGAAGAAATCAAAGGGGATGAGGTTCGACTAGAAGGGGTTGAGGAACCCAAATAGAACTTGGTCTAAAAGGGAGAGAAATCAAAAGGTTCCTAGATAGAGCTCTGACTAGAAGGGGAAGAAACTGCTGAGTTTCTCAGATAGAGCTGGGACTAAAAGGAGGGAGAAATTGGAGGGGGTGAGGATCCCAGATAGTGCTGGGTCTAAAAGTGGGGAGAAACCAAAAAGTCCCCAGATAGAGCTTTGAGTAGAAGGGGAAGAAATTGGAGAGGTTTTCAGATAGAGTTGAGACTAAAAGGAGGGAGGAATTGGAGAGGGTTGAGGACCCCAGATAGATCTGGGACTAAAAATTGGGAGAAACAAAAAGGTTCCCAGATAAAGCTGTGAGTAGAAGGGGAAGAGATTGAGGAGATTTTCAGACAGAGCTGGGACTAAAAGGAGGGAAAAATTGGAGGGGGATGATAGATTTGGGTCTAAAAGTGGGGAGAAACCAAAAGGTCCCCAGATAGAGCTGTGAGTAGAAAGGGAAAAAAATTAACGTTTTCAGATTAAGCTGGGACTAAGAGGAGGGAGAAATTGAAGGGGGATGAGGACCCCAGATAGAGCTGGGTCTAAAAATTGGGAGAAACCAAAAGGTCCCCAGATAGATCTGTGAGTAGAAGGGGAAAAAATTAACGTTTTCAGATTGAGCTGGGACTAAGAGGAGGGAGAAATTGGAGGGGGATGAGGACCCCAGATAAATCTGGGTCTAAAAGTGGGGAGAAACCAAAAGGTTCTTGGATAGAGCTCTGACTAGCAGGGGAAGAGATTGAGGAGGTTTTCAGGTGGAGCTGGAACTACAAGGAGGGAGAAATTGAAAGGGATGAGGACCCCAGATAGATCTGGGTCTAAAAATGGGGAGAAACCAAAAGGTCCCCAAATAGAGCTTTGAATAGAAGGGGAAGAGCTTGAGGAGGTTTCCAGATGGAGCTGTAACTACAGGGAGGGAGAAATGGAAAGGGATGAGGACCCCAGATAGATTTGGGTCTAAAAATGGGGAGAAACCAAAAGGTCCCCAAATAGAGCTTTGAGTAGAAGGGGAAGAGCTTGAGGAGGTTTCCAGATGGAGTAGAACTACAAGGAGGGAGAAATGGAAAGGGATGAGGACCCCAGATAGATCTGGGTCTAAAAATGGGGAGAAACCAAAAGGTCCCCAAATAGAGCTTTGAGTAGAAGGGGATGAGCTTGAGGAGGTTTCCAGATGGAGCTGGAACTACAAGGAGGGAGAAATGGAAAGGGATGAGGACCCCAGCTAGATCTGGGTCTAAAAATGGGGAGAAACCAAAAGGTCCTTAGAAGGAGAATGGACCGAGGAGGTTTCTTGATAGAGCTGGGCCTAAAAGGAAGGGGGAGAAGCTGGACACATGGAGGGGAAGAAGCCAAGGAGGGTCTTGTGCTGCGAGGGGCGATTACTCCAGCCTCGGTCGGCCTTTGCTTTGGGTGGAGGAGGAAGAGGAGGAGGAGGAATAGTAGTCCTGGGACGAGGTCCAGGGCGAAGAAGGAGAAGCAGGAGGAGCGGCAGCAGCAGCAGCAGCAACGTCCCGGTGCCTCGTGCTGTAATAATAGTAGTAATAGTAGTAGTAGTAATAAGAGTGGTGGTGCCGGCGGCGAGCGGCGAGGCCCTGCGGCTGCGGGCGGAGGCGGGTCCCGGCGAGGTGGGCCAGCAGCTTGGGCCGGCTCATGGTTCCAGCCCGGCGTCCATGGAGAAGGAGGAGGAGGAGGTGGTGGTGGCCTTGGAGAGGCCCAACAGGCCGCGGCTGCTTCTCCCGGCGGGGCTTCTCCTTCCGCCTGCGAGGCCTATCCGCCTTCGTGGGTTCCCCCTCCGTTGCTGCTCCTGCCGCCGACGCCTCCTTTCGCGGCCTCCTCGCATCGCGGAAGAGGCGGCGGGGTCACGGGAAGAAGGGGCTCCTCGTCCTCCTCCTCATCTCCTCCTTCTTCGCCTCCTTCTCCTTCTTCTTCTTCCCACGCTCGGCCTTGCCCTGCCCTGCCCTCCTTCGCCGTTGCCTCCCAGCGAGAGAGAGAGAGAGAGATGGCTTTGAAAGGCTTGCTTTTCCTCTCCCCCCAGAGAAAAGCAGGCAAACAAGCACGCGGGCGGGCGCGCCACACAAACAAGGCGCGCGTCGGCAATAATAATGAGGATTTATATATATATATATATAAAAAGATGGAGGGAGGGAGGGAGGCGCGCGTCAGGAGAGGCGAAGAGGAGAGAGAAGGAGGATGCGTCGGTTTGATTCTTAGGTTGCTTTATTTTGTTTCCAAGCGAGAGTCGTGCGGGAGGGGGGGAAAAGGGAAGGAAATGGACGCGCTCAGAATCACGGCAGACGAAAGAGGAGGAGGAGGAGCCCCGGACGCCTCCCAGGATTCCACGGCACTGAGCCATACGCAGGTGAAGCGCTGTCGAACCGCGTTCATTCTACAGTGAAGATGCACGGTGCTCATGTGATAAAGGAGGAGGCAACTGCACTCGGACAGGAAAATGGGTGCGAATGGGGCCTCCCCAATGCTTTGGGTTTATATAACCAAGGAGTGGCTGCTCTTTTGGAATCGTTCATTTAGCAACCAATATATAAACAGTCCAGGAGTTTGTACTTTGATGGCGCCGCAGACCACTGGAACACACACAGATACACACACACACACAGAGTTATATATACACACACACACCTAAGAATATATGTATATATTTACGTATGTGTGTGTATATAGATAGATAGATAGATAGATAGATAGATAGATAGATATAGTGTGTGTGTATATGATATGCATATATATATATATATATTTACTATATTGTGTGTGAGTGGTACGTACATACATATATATTGTGTGTATATATTTGTGTGTTTGTATATGTATTTTTATATATGTGTGTGTGTATATATATACATACACACACCCCTAAGAATATATGTGTATATTTACGTATGTATGTATATATGTGTGTGTATATATATATATAGATATAGATAATGTGTGTATATATGGTGTGTGTGTGTGTGTGTGTGTGTGTATATATATATATATAGTGTGTGTGAGTGGTATATATATACATATATATTGTGTGCATATAGTTGTGTGTGTATGTATATGTGTATGTGTATGTGTGTGTATATATACACACACATGTATATGGTACATAATATCTATATTTGTGTGTGTGTGTCTTTATATATATATATATATATGCATATGTATATGTCTGTATATATATGTGTGTGTGTGGTACAAATATACCTATATACCTATGTTGTGTATGTGTGGTACATATACACCTATATTATGTGTGTATATGGTACATATATACCTATATTATGTGTGTATATGGTACTTATATACATATATTGTGTGTGTGTGTGTGCGTGTATGGTACATATATACCTATATTATGTGTGTATGTATGTGTGTATATGTGTGTACATATATACCTATTTTATGTGTCTATTATATACCTATTTTATATTATGTGTATATATGGTACATATATACCTATATTATGTGTGTATATGGTACTTATATACATATATTATATGTGTGTGTGTATATATGGTGCATATATACCTATATTATGTGTGTATGTATGTGTGTATATGTGCGTGTGTGTGTATGTAGTGTGTGTGTATATATATATAGAGAGAGAGAGAGTATTCAAGAAATGGCCTTACCAAGATCTGGCCTTATTCGCGGCGGCACAGCCGGTTAAACCACTGAGCTGCTGAACATGCTGATCAAAAGGTCAGCAGTTCAAATCCAAGGAGCAAGGTGAGCTCCTGCTGTTAGGCTCAGCTTGTGCCAACCTAGCAGTTTGAAAATATGCACATGTGATTAGATCAATGGGTACCACTCTGGCGGGAAGTTAACGATGCTCCATGCAGTCATGCTGACCACATGACCTTAGAGGTGTCTACAGACAATGTCGGCTCTTTGGCTTAAAAACAGTGATGAGCACCACCCCAAACAGAATTGGACACAACTAGATTTAATGTCAGGGGAAACCTTTACCTTTATAGTGTGTGTGGCTGCATCTACACCAGGCATAAGCAAACTTCAGCCCTCCAGGTGTTTTGGACTTCAACTCTCACAATTCCTAACAGCCAGTAGGCTGTTAGGAATTGTGGGAGTTGAAGTCCAAAACACCTCGTAGGGCCGAAGTTTGCCCACACCTGATCTACACTGTAGAATTATTGAGGCATGACACCACATTAACTTGCTATGGCTCAACACCTTGGAATTCTGGGATTTGTAGTTTGGCAGAAAAGACCGAAGACCCTGTAAAACTACAGCTTCCATCATTCCATGGCATTGAGCCATGGTAGTTAAATTGGTATCAAATTGTATTAACTCTGCAATGTAGACACATCCTTAATCAAGTTGCACAACTACTAAAGCCAGTCAACTTATTTCAGATCCCAAAACACACTTATCTCCATCCATGTCAGTAAAATTAAAATAATACCAAAAATATTTGCTGCCCTTTTGTGTTACCCCAAATCTTCTACCAGAGGCAATCACCTCACTCCAATATTTTGGCACAAAAATACAGTTTTGGGACATAGCTGCTCATTTTTTTAAAAAACCAACCACACCATGTC